GCCAGCCCTCAAATCACTTGAACTTTTTAATCATCCCAGGCATATAGGATCTTAGCAAAGATTTTTCTCTAATGTTTTCATCTGAGAAAAGAAACCCAGAACACAGAAGTTAACTATATAATAAATATGTCTTGAAGGCAGATTTTCAAACTTGACTCTACTCAGTTTCTATTGAATCACAGTCTTTTATACTTATCTTTCTGTTAACAAGGGAATAGGATCCAGACCGTCTTGTATATAGTCTAGGAGATGAATCTTAGTCTTTTTAGTCTCCAGACTATAGGGATCTTTGACCAGTAACACTGCTAAATCATGCAAGTGAACCCATTATTTTACACAGCTGTTGACATGGCTATCAAGAATACCAAGAGTATGCAGGTTTTGGAGTTGTGGGAGAGGGTAGTTGCCTTGGTGGGGAGGGAATAAATCTTTTTAAGTGTTTTCAACTCATCTCAGATTACTTAGGACAGTGTATAGTTAGTTGATTACATATCTGTTTTTCTTAGATTGTGAGTTGCTTGAGGGCAAGGACCAAACTTGTCTTATACAGCTTCGTGTCCTTGTACCTGCAGTCCTCTAGTTTTTAAGAAGCACTCCATAAATTTCAACAGACAGATGAGAGAAATTATGCGAAAGTAGGGACAAAGTGGGGATAATGGAAAGTGAAATGCTAGGTACTAGGTAGGAAGATTAGCTTTGGAAGTTTTGTTTACTGGTTATAAGAATCATAGACCCCTCACAAACCTTAAATGTTTGACTTTTGCTAAGTTGATGTCAAATCAGTTTTAAGAATAACTACATTTCAGTTTTTTGTGTATGAATGTGGATTATTTCTTCATTTTAACATTTTATTTTACTTGTTTTGTTTTGCTGTGTTGAGCATGCCTAAATGAATTAATGAGACTTTCCATTTTGACAGCTTGAAATAACCGTGAATGTTCCAGACATAGGATTCATAACTGTTGATGAACATCAATTCTCAAACACAGATGTGGCCACTCAAGAAATGAAACAGGAAGAAAATTTGAATGCATTATCAATTGTAAGCAACCACTTTAACATATTTTAATTCTTTGTTTACTTTCAAAAGACTGGAAGTTTATTAAAAGTTTTAGGTTTGTTTACAAGCAGTTCTTAGCTAATTTCTATAATGTAGGGAGCTGTAAGTTTGAACAATAGAAACTAGTGACTAATCCATAGGTTTTATATTTGACTTGAAAAGTAGTGATGTGTGTGTGTGTGTGTGTGTGTGTGTATAGCTCTTAATATCGTCAGAGACTTATGTTAAAACTCTGTTGCATTAAGTCTATACTAAATATAAATTATTTGGAATATATTTAGTTGCATTTTTGCATAACATTCTTCCTTATTTGGTTGGTATTTATCTTATTTTTGCAAATGAAGACATGGAATCACAACTTTTTAAAAACAGCTTTATTAAGATACAATCAACACACCTTACAATTTATGCATTTCATGTGTACAATTCAGTGGTTTTTAGTATATTTACAAACATCATCACAGTTAATTTTAGAGCATTTTCATCGCCTCAAAAAGAAACCCCATGCCACTGGCAACTGCTCCCCATTTCTTTTCAGCCCACCTCAGGCCTATCCAACCAGTAATCTGCTTTCTGTTTCTGGTGATCTGTCTGTTCCAGACATTTCATATAAATTGTCTCATAATATTGTCTTTTGTGTCTGGTTTCTTTTACTTAGCATAGTGTTTTCAAGGTCTGTCATGTTGTAGCATATATCAGCACTTCATTCCATTTGTGGTCAAATAATAGTACAGATGGATATACCATATTTTGTTTATCCATTCATCTGTTCATTGACGTATAGGTTGTTTCCATCTTTTGGCTTTTATACATAATGCTGCTATAAACATTTTTGTACAGGTATATTCGAGGACATATATTTTCATTACTCTTGGATACAGTCCTAGGAGTGTAATTGCTGTGTCGTATAATGACTATGTTTAATCATGTGAGGAACTAGCAAACTGTTTTCCAAAGCTGTTGCACCATTTTACATTCCCACCAGCGGTGTATGAGGGTTCCAGTTTCTTTACGTGCTTGCCAACGTTTGTTACTTGACTTTTGGGATCTAACCATCCTAGTGGATGTGAAATGTTACCTCATTACAATTTTGATTTGCGTTCCCTAATTATTAATGATGTTGAGCAGCTTTTCATGTACTAATTGGCCATTTTAAAGTCATCTTTGTAGAAATGTCTGTTCAGAGCCTTTGCCCATTTTTTTATTATTGGTCTCTTTGTCTTTTTATTATTAAGTTTTAAGAATTTTTTATGTACAGTAGTCCCCTCTTATCCACAGGGGATGCATTCCCAGACCCCCAGTGGATGCCAGAAACCTTTGATAGTGCCAAATCCTATACATGGTATATTTTTTCTGTACATAAATACCTATGGTAAAGTTTGATTTACAAATTAGGTACAGTAACAACAACAATAATAAACTAGGACAATTATCACAATATTCTGTAATAAAAGTCAGTGTGAATGTGATCTGTTTCTCTTTCAAAATATATTACTTTACTGTATATACAGCATGAATACACTGGACAAAGGGATGATTTACATGCTGGGTGGGCCGGAGCAGGACAGCTTGAGATTTCATCATGCTCCACAGAACGGCATATTTAAAACCTATGAATTGTTTATTTTTCAAATTTTCCATTTAATATTTTCAGACCACAGTTGACTGTGGGTAACTGAAACCATGGAAAGCAAAACCATGGATAACGGGGGACTACTGTATTCTGGATACAAGTCCCTTATCAGATAATATGATTTGCAAATATTTTTCCCCACCCTGTGGGTTGTCTTTTCATTTTCTTGATGGTTTCCTTTAAAACACACAAGTTTTTGATTTTTATGAACTTCAATATATCTATTTTTTTGTTGTTCCTCATGATTTTGTTGTATCTAAGCATCCTTTGCTAAAGCCTAGATTTACTCCTATATTTCTTCTAAAAGTTTTATGGTTTTAACTATAGTTTTAAGTCTTTAATCCATTTTGAATAAATTTTTGTATATGTTGTGAGGTTAGAGTCCTACTTCATTCTTTTGCATATGATGATCCAGTTGTCACACCTTTGAAAAGACTATTTTTCCCCATTGAATGGTCTTGCATTCTTATCGAAAATCAATTGGCTGTAGATGTATGGATTTATTTCTGGACTCTCAATTCTGTTGCATTGATTTATGTCTACGTGAAGGTGATGTTCTGTTGATTACTGTTACCTTGTAGTAAGTTTTGGAATTGGGAAGTGTAAGTCATTTTACTTTATTCTTTTTTCAGGATTAATTTGGCTATTGTGGATCCCTTGCAATTCCATATGAATTTTAAAATCATCCTGTCAGTTTCTAGAAAGATGTCAGCTAGGATTCTGATTGGCATTGCACTGAATCTATAGATCAGATTTTTTTGTTTTTGTTTTTGTTTTTGTTTTTTTGGTGGGGGAGTGCGTTTTTTGCTACCTTAATAATGTTGAGTCTTCCAGTCCATGAACATGGGATATTTCCCATTTATTTAAGATTGTCTTTGATTTCTTTCAACAGTGTTTTGCAGTTTTCAGAGTGTAAATCTTGCACTTCTTTTGTTATTTTTGATGGTACTATGAATGGAACTGTTTTCTTAATTTCATTTTTGGATTATTTACTGCAAGTGTATAGAAATACAATTGATTTTTGTACATTGGTGTTGTATCCTGCAACTTTGATGAACTGAGTTATTAGTTCTAATAGTTTTTTAGTAGATTCCTTAGGATTATCTAAATACAAGATCATGGCATGTGTGAATAGAGATAGTTTTATTTCTGCCTTTCTATATTAGTTTCCTGGGGCTACTATAACAAACTACTACAAACTGGTTGGCTTAAAACTACAGAAAGTTATTTTCTCAGTTCTGGATGCCAGAATTCTAAAATTGAGGTGCTGTCAGTGATGGCTCCTTCCATAGGCTTTGAGGAAGAAACCATCCGGACCTTTCTCTTACCTTCTGGCAGTTGCCGGCAGTCCTCGTCGTTCCTTGGCTGTGGCAGCACAATTCCAGTCTTTGCCTCCATTGCCACATGGCATTCTCCCTGTGTGCATGTCTGCGTTTCTTCTCCTGTTATAAGGACACCAGTCATATTGGATTAGGGCCAACCCTAATCATGTATGACTTCAAGTTGATTACATTTACAAAGACCCTGTTTCATGTTCATGGCACTGGGGGTTAAGACTCCATCATATTTCCTGGAGGACACAATTCGATTATAACACTTTCAATCTGGATGTCCTTTATTTCTTTTGCTTGCCTAATTACCCTGGCTAGACCCTCCAGTACAATGCTGAATACAAGTGGCTTTAGTGGACGTTCTCGTCTCGTTCCTGGTCTTAGGGGAAAGTGTTCCGCCTTTCACTGTTAAGTTTGATGTTAGCTGTGGATTTTTTCATAGATGCCCTTTATCAAATTGAAGAAGTTTCATTCTAGTCCTAGTTTGTGTGAGTATTTTATCATGAAAGGATGTTGGAATTTGTCATGTGCTTTTTCTGCATCTTTTGAGATGATCATGTGATTTTTGTTTTTTATTGTATCGATATGATGTATTACGTTGATTGAATTTTGGATGTTATACCAAAAAGTTGCATCCCTGGGATAAATCCTACTTGATCATGATGTGTAATTTTTGTATGTTGCTGGATTTGGGTTGCTAGTATTTTTGTGTCCATATTCATAAAAGATATTGGTTTATTATCTATTATGAGTCTGACACCAGATTATTGTGTTAGAAGCCAAAGCCCTGCTCCTTCTAGGAAGAAAACTCTCCAGCTGGGACCTACAGGGAGAAGGGGTTCTGTTTTCTTGGCTGCAGAGTTTGAAGTGGAGTTTCTGCCTTGCTGAGCTGGGAAGGAGGAGGGAGAAAGCACACTTAGTTCAAATACCTCAGACTTTCACCTTTGTTACTGAATTTTCATTAGTTTTTTTTAAAAGATTTTTATTGAGGAATTGGGGGATGGGAACAGCGCTGGGGAATTGGGGGAAGGGGAACAGACAAGTTGCTGTCCTTTTGTTCTTCAGTCTAGTTGTGGAGGACGTTGCTTCACTGGCCCAAGTTGGCACCATCATTGCGCTCTTCCCGGGTGAGGCAGATCAGTCGCCGGCTTCTGGACGGCCGCTCATTGCGGCTGCTGGCTGCTCACGCTGGCTGCTGGCCACACACGGTAGCCCATGGCAACCCACTGCCACAGGGGCGGCAGCCTACGCTGTTGCCGGTGACTCATGGCAGCCCAGCTCCAGGTTGAGCTGTTGTTCAGCATCTTAGCTGTAGAGGGCAGTGTCACTGGCCCTCATATGTGGGATCCAAACTGGGGCCCTCTGGCGTCCCAAGCCAGCTCCTAACCAACATGCCATTCGGCCGGCCCTCATTAGTTTTTTGAATAGATGTTTCGTCGTCTTATTCAATAAGGACCATTTCCGGATGCTTTAATGGTCTTTTTAAATAAATTTCACCAGTGTCAACAGGGAGAGGGTCAGCAGAACTCCTCATGCTGGACATTGATCCTGTAACCTCTTAATTTATTAAAATTCATTTAAGTTTTAAGCCTCCTAGTATGGAATAAAAAATTTGCAGTATTCTTCAGACCTTGGTTTCCATTGGGTTGGAACTAGTGGCAGATATGACCAAAGTTAAAAGATTTTGAAAGCGCAGAAGTCAAGTAAGAATGGTAGATGCACATTGCAATATGATTAGAGTTAACTTTTGCATATAATACAAGGAAAAGGTAAAACAAGAACCAAGAGACAAAAGAATTGGGCTTTTCTTGTTTATGAAATTTTATGAATAATTATAAATGAAGAGGGAAAACACCAATTTCCACTCCATTATAATCAAAATATAGAAAGACCTGTAAAACAGTGCTTTTTTTGAGATATAGAATATATATACTTGGGAAAATAAGTAAGTTACTATTTTTCCTCTTTTAGGAAATGACCACAGGTGAACATACCCAAGATGAAACAGGTAACTGTTAATAAGAAAACTGTTAAAAACTATTTGGTTAACACTAGCATGATGATTTATTAGTGGTGGTAAGTAGTAAATGAGTCATTTTGATGGAGAGTTGAACAAAAAGATTCAGTGTTGAATGTATTATCTCTGGGAGAAATGTGGATTCTTGGAATGTTATTTTAGAATGTGAATTAAGAGTTAAATGTTTAATAAAGTATTTATTTCCTCTGATCTGCACAGATACATTTTCTTTGAAGGTATTATTGTAAATTATTTAATTGGGAGGGAGGCATTTTCAGTGAGTAAAAGCCAATGGTTGATTTCTTTTTTTTTTTAAGATTTTTATTGGGGAATTGGGGGAGGGGAATAGACAAGTTGCAGTCCTTTTGTTCTTCAGTCTAGTTGTGGAGGACGTCACTTCACTGGCCCATGTTGGTATTGTGATCATTGAGCTCTTCCCAGGTGAAGCAGTCGCTCGCCGGCCATTGGACAGCTGCTCACGGCGGCTCATGGCAGCTCACACTGGCTGCCAGTCACTCACAGTAGCTCACAGCAGCCCACTGCAGCAGGGGCTGCAGCCTACGCTGTCGCCGGTGACTCACAGCAGCCCAGCTCCAGGTCGAGCTGTTGTTCACCAACTTAGCTGTAGAGGGTGCAGCGCCACCGGCCCTCATGTGGGATCCCAACCGGGGCCCTGATGCTCAGACCTGGCGTCCCAAGCCAACTCTTAACTTAACGCGCCACTTGGCTGGCCCCAGTTGATTTCTTTATTGTAGGATATAAACTCAACAAAACATTATCCTAGTAAGGGATTGGTGTACAGAGGATATTGAAACTTATTACTAGAAGATAAACACCTGAATTTAAAAAACTTTTTGTATGTAAACAAAATTAAATTTCCAGATTCATTCTTTTGTTTTAATGTTGGTATATTTTTTCACAAGGTACCAATGATGGAAGCACCGAAGCTGCCATAACTTTACTTACAATGGGAGATCTAGTGTTGCAGTCAGAGATTAGTACTGAACAGAGTGATGGTAAGGATGAAAGACAAATGCTCAAAACAGAGACTTTTATTATTATTATTATTTTTAAGATTTTTATTGGGGATTTGGGGGAGGGGAACAGTGCTGGGGAATCAGGGGAAGCGGAACAGACAAGTTGCTGTCGTTTGTGTTCTTCAATCTAGTTGTGGAGGACATTGCTTCACTGGCCCATGTTGTTATTATCATTGAACTCTTCTCGGGTGAGGCAGTCGCTCGCTGGCCATTGGATGGCTGCTCACGGTGGCTCTTGGCAGCTCACACCAGCTGCCGGCCACTCACGGTAGCTTAACGGCAGCCCATTGCAGCAGGGGCTGCAGCCTATGCCGTCGCCGGTGACTCACGACAGCCCAACTCCAGGTCGAGCTGTTGTTCACCATCTTAGCTGTAGAGGGCAGTGTCACTGGCCCTCATGTGGGATCTGAACCGGGGTCCTGCTGCTCAGAGCTGGCGTCCCAAGCCAGCTCTTAATCAACGCGCCACTCGGCTGGCTCATCAAAACAAAGTTATAATTAAAATGCAACTTTTAAGAAATTATACCCACATTTTAGTAATAAGCTAATATCTGCCTTTCACATTTGAAGTTGGCATCACTTTGTTTTTTCCAGAAAAGGCAATATGTGTGCACTGATTCATCCAACTTAGCCCCTTTAGATGTAGTGGCCACCATTTTGAGACTGTGAACTTGGTTTATAAAGAATAATTTGGGGGCCGGCCAAGTGGCTCAGTTGGTTAAGAGCTCGCTCAAAAGTGTGAGCTCTGAGCAACAGGGTCACCGATTCGATTTGTGGCCCGAGTTGAGCTGCTGCTGAGCTGCCAACAGGTGACAGGATGGCTCAGCTCAAAAAAAAAAAAAGAAGAATTTGTATTTGTAGAATAGTTAATCTAGTGAATCCTCTACCTTTAGCATTATAAACATCATTGTTTAACTAAGTTCATAGATCAATGATTACTTTATGCATGTTTCTTTAGCAAAGGAACTGCCTCTTAGGATAGTCTTCACAGTTACGTGACAATCAAATACACTGTGAAGGGACAGTAGCAGTCATTGAGATCATTTGGCTTAGACTGTTCTTTTTAATTAGTTTCAGATGTACAACACAGTGCAATAGTTATACTTTTTACCGCTCTAGACTGTTCTTTTAGTTTGGACTGAGCCAAAAGATATGTCGACCCAGATTTTTAATGTTTTAGGCTGACCTTCGAGAGAAGCTATGGTCTTTACTGTCTAAGTATGTTGTACTTTAAGTACATTAAATGGACAATCATGTTAATTATATTCCTGTTAGTTATTTTGACTGGTGATGAGAGGCCTGTCATTAATTTTAGATGTTAGACTTTTAGTCCCACAACTATATATTTATCAGGAAACATTCTGATTCATGTTCCCTATAGGACTTATTTCTCAATGATAGAGTATTGCTTTGGACCCTGGCACAAATCTCTAGAACATAAATATAGGCTTTAAAAGTTGTAAATGAAGGTGATCCTATCTTGAAATTCATTTGAGGTTATATAGTTACTGAAAGTAACAAAAAGATTCATTGTAGCACCAAAATTTCAGTCTGTAAACATTATTAAGCTTTAGAGTAAGTCAAATCTCTGGCATGAAATATGAGATCATAAATTTAAATTTGGAGCCAAAAAGAGCAAACTTTAAAAACAATATAGAATTTTATAATTGCTTAATGTTGAAGGATTTATTTTATTTGGACATCTATTTATATTGGGTCTATTTTAATTTTTATTTTTTTCTGCAGCTAGAGTATGTGTACTTCCTGATGTTCATTCAAAGGATCAAAGCCATATTCCTTTTAGCCCAGATAATGTAAACCACAAAATTGTTCATGAATGTCAGGAGCTTTCTTCACCTGTCAGTACTACATCGATAGAAGAAAACAAGATTGTATTGGAGGAACAAAGTACTAAAGAAGAAATTGGTTTAATGGAGAAAGTAAAAGGAAACACTATAACAATCAGGTTTATTTTGCTTTATTAAACTAGTATTTTTTTTTAGTTTTATTAAAAAATACAGTATTCAAGTAATACATATATTTAAACTATCAATTTAATTAATAGCTTGAATAACACTTGTATAAATGTGAAGTAGGCAGCACTAATTTCTCCCACTTTAAAGTAATGATTGGCTGATTTTGATTTTAGCTTAGTGGTTTGCATGTTAACATTACTGTGATATGTGTGTCTGAAACTTTAATGAAATAGTTTTATGTAAATATAGTCTTTGTTTTACAAATATGGTCCAGATTCTCTTCCCTCTCAAGACTTTTAGTAAAGTTACTACCGTGTAATTTTACCTGTAAGAAATGAACACTTAGAAACAACGTGGCACCTAAGAAGGTGGCACATAACTATCAGTGCTAATCAGAATGTATCAATGTGAGAGAGGATTCTTACACAGTTGACAAATTTATCTTTTTTCCCGTCTTCTCTCTTTTTCTAGGAATACAACTTCTGAAGTGACCAATAATTCAAAAATGAGAAGTAGTAGATTTGTCAAGCCTAAGCCAGTTCTTAGGAAGACTTTAGGGACCAACAGATTTGGTGCTTATCAGGAAGATCCCAGTTTGTTTGTAACTAAAGGAGAAGAAGCAGAAATTCAAAGAGGTAAATTTTATTGTTCCCTTGCAAGTTACAAAATTACTTTGACACAAGAAATTACAATAGCATTTCAAATGGAATATTCAGTTTTTAAACTTATTTTAACTTACTATTAAAAAGTTTCAAATAAGGGCCGGCCGAGTGGCTCAGTTGGTTAAGAGCTTGCTCAAGAGTTTGAGCTCTGAGCAACAGCGGTTCGAGTCCCGGCCCGAGCTGAGCAGCCACTGAGCTGCCAACAGGTGGCAGGATGGCTCAGCTTAAAAAAAAAACAAAAAACAAAGTTTCAAATATATAAAAAGTAAAATGAGCTATAAAATAAATACCCATGAAAATTTAAGTTTCAGTAATTACTATGAGATTTTTGATATATTAATGAAACTTTCTCTTCATATATATTTTTTTCTGTGTGTGTGTGTAAACATGAATACTCACGCACACATCTCTTAGAAAAACATACATGCATATGGCAAAAAGTAAGACAGTGCCCAAAAGGCATAAAATTTTAAAAAGTCTCTCCTTCCTCCTTTCCAGTCCTCTAATCCTAGTTCTAGTAGTAAATTGCTTTTAACAGCTTTTGTTGTAGACTTCTAGAATATTTAATACACATAAGCATCTAAATGAGGGTGTGCGTGTGTATACCATACATCCATGTATATGTATATATACATATACACATGTATATTCATTTCAGGAAGGACAAAAATATATGCATAACTGTATACTGTTCAGTCACTTTTTTAAATAACAGTTTTATTGAGATAATTCATGTATCATATAATTTGCCCATTTAAATTGTACAATTCAGTGGTGGTTAGTGTATTCACCAAGATTGAATTAAACCCCATATATAGAAGATCTGGATAATTAACATCATCTTTTCTCTGTTTTGGGATTCCTGATTTCTGGGACTTGTCTTTCAACCTGCAATGCCTGTGGTTTGGCTAGTTAATTCATTATTTACTCTGGCTTCAGCAATACCCAGAAGCTCTCTCATTATGTAGAATCAAGTTTCCTTTTCTATATAGAACTCCTTTTCTTCTCCTTTGTGACATTAGTTTTTGTAGAACAGCTCCCTCCCCAACACTTTTCTTAAGGTGGGACTAGCCAGACCACAGGTGTAGCCACCTCTGAACATCTTTTGTGTGTCGGTTGCTAATTATATTGCTGTTACCAAAAAGTGGGGATACAATTATTGTGGCAGCGGGGAGTGAATTATGTGCAGTACGGGATTCGTTAATCATCTGTTTTACTGTCCAAAAATTTCGTTGGCCAGGACCACCCTTCTGCCCTGTGAATAGGTTTGCTTTTTGGATTAAGAGAAGTTTGGAAGAGCCGCTAACTATGGGGTTGTCAGAAAAGTCATGACGTATTTTTTCTGTTTTTCATTGTAAAAATGTGTCATGACTTTTCCGACAACCCAATATATAGTGATCAGTCTTTGAAGTGAGAATGTTTCTAATATGGAGATTTTAGCTGTACTATTTTGGACTACATCATAAATATGTTTTTTATTTAAGAAACAGAGAAAAATGCTTCTCAAGCAATAGAATTAGAAGATCAAAACCTTGGATCAGCTACAGCAGCAGAGAGTAAGGAGCAGAGCAGACTGGCACATGCACATAGGATTGAAGACGCCAGTATTTCTCAGGACACAAGCCTACCTGAAAGGTAAATGGAAAGAGATTCTGGGATTCGTTTCTGTTTTGTTTCAGCTATAGCCACAAGCTGTAAGAATTTCATAGAAAAATGGGTTCTGTTGCCTTAAATATAACAAAGTTAAGAAACATTAAATTAGATGAATTTGACATCCCTAGCTCTAAACATTATTGTGTGGGTGTCTACTTGATTTCATATACATACTAAAACTCTTAATACATACTGATTTATCTTTTCAGAAAGGAAGATCAAGAAGAGGGATCTCAGGAGCTTCAGATATTGTCAGTTGCTCCAACTGTTTCCTTGGAGACCATGCCCCACACACTTGGTTTGGGTAGGGGTCTTGGTGAGAGTTCTGTTGGAGAGCCCCTGAAAAAGGATTCTGATGGAGACAGCATGCTTACACTTTATGGGCCAGAGGTAAAAGAATGTAAAATATAACAAGTGGTGGCTAGCTGTTTGTTCCTCATTTAAAAAAAATTAAGGTATAATATAAACACAATAAACTTCACCCTTTGTAGTGTGCAGTTCTGTAAGTTTTTTGTTTTTGTTTTTTTCCTTTTTTTTTAGCTGAGTCATCCTTCCACCTGTTGGCAGCGGCAGCTCAGCTGTGGCCGTGAATCGAACCGGTGACCCTGTTGCTCAGGGCTCACATTCTTTTTTTTTTTTTTAAAGATTTTTATTGGGGAATTGGGGGGATGGGAACAGTGCTGGGAAATTGGGGAAAGGGGAACAGACAAGTTGCTGTC